GTGAGACTCAGGCCTTCAAGTTTAGGTCTGCTTCTTTTTGTGAACTTTGTGTGTCTTTGTGGTTTACTTTTGGGGGATGAAAAGCTGGTTCGTCTAAGCTTCCGGTTCTCTCTTTTGATTTTATATTGGAGTGGCCGGATTGCTTTTGTCTTCAAGTGTTCCCACAGAGGCCCAATTCAGATGAGGGTCAGATGTTTTCAGGCTTTCTCCTAAGGTCTGGATCCCTCCAGGAACGATATGGGCCTCAGGAATTTGGTGGTTGGACTCTCCTGGGAGCCTGGCCCAGGAAAGATGCTGGTCTAGGGCAGGTGGTGGCCATGCCACCCAGAGATGCAAAGGCAGTTGGGGCGGGAAGAGGCTTCAAGGACTCCTGGGGACTGCACTGAGGACCTGGTTTGGTCTGGATGCAAAGGATCAGGAATAGGAAAGGTCAGCCCCCGAGTTCCGGAAAGAGGCTGGCGGCAGGTGCAGGTCCAGGGAAGCAGAGGGAGGGGCCAGGCCCAGTAGCAGTGCTGCTTGGGACCTGAGAAGGAACAGTTGCTTTGGATGCACAGGATGAGGAAGAAGCAGTATTGGTTCCCCAGGTGTCTGGGGCCCCAAGACAAGGAATGGGACAGGACCCAGGCGAAGAGGAGAGACCAGCGGGGGAGATGGAAGAGTGAATGAAGTTGCGGGAGTCAAGGCCTGGAGGTCGTGTTGGACTTACCCTGGAGAGAGGCCTGTGGGTAGGAGAGAGGCCTTTGCGGGTCTGTTAGGCCCAGGGAAGCAGAGCCATTTTCTGAAACTTTTAAAAAAAATTTTATTTTTTTATTTTATGTCTATGCATGTATTGCCTGCATGTAGGTACGTGCACCTGTGTCCTGCAGTGCCTGCAGAGTTCAGGATAGGCTGTCGGATCCCCTGGGACTGGAGTTACTGACAGTTCTTAGCTGCCATATGGGTGTTGGGATTTGAACCCGAGTCTTCTGGAAGAACAGTGTTCTTAACCAATGAGCCATCCCTCCAGCCCCAACTACTATATCATTTTTAAAATGTGTATTTCTATGATCTCCAGCACTTCAAGAAAAAGTAAAAAGTAGACTTTAACAGCCTTGCTAACTATGATAAAATATGGTTATGAATCAACATCTTTTTACTGTTTGAAACTGTGATTATATACTGGTAGTTTTGTTCTTGTACCGTATGCACTTAGGCTGTTTAGCCTGAGTTCTGCATTTTGTAGGTTTTCCTCTTTCTGTGTTTGCTGTCTACTTTGCATGCTTACCTCTGTCAGTCTCTCTCTTAACACAGGACATAGGCCCTGACAGTCTAAGGATCTTTCCCATGCATGAAATTTAAAAGAGTATGTGAGCATTGTGGCATTCCTTTGGGCTACTTGGAGAATTATTTGGTTTTGTTTTTTCAAAACTCTGAGCTATTTGTGTAGTTCATATTCTTTAGACTCCTTTCCAGTGTCCTGTATAATAGAAAATAATTGGCTTTGTCATTTTCAGAATTGTATTGCATTGACCATCCTGCTGGTGGTTAGTACTTTTCTTGAGGTATTTCAGATACAATAAATGGCTAAAAAAACCATGTGTGATGGTGCAAAACTCTAATCCTAGTCTAATGAGGCTGAGGCAAGAGCATCAGGAGTTCAATGCCAGCCTAAGCTGTAGAACATTACTAAACAATAGGTTTGACTTAGAGTCAAAAACATTTTTTGAAAAAGGACAGAAGGCATGAGTAATGTACTTTAACCAATTCCTCATATGCATAATGATAAATATTTGCATATAATTTTGATAAAATTAAGTCATTTGAACATTATCATGTTTTCTCTTTAAAACTCATGTTGGAATTTATGTTGTAATGTTCTTTACTAGGAAGGTTCAATAAAAGACGAGTTACTTTAAAATTTTTTTAAGTTGAAAACTACTCTCTTGAAACTCATTTTGTTTAAATTTATTGATGTTAAAGGTGCTTCACAGAACGATGATGGCTGCAGACCCAAGGACGAAACAAGGTAAGAGTTCACTGACTGCTTACCATAGAAAACAGAAAGAAAGAAGGAAGAATTCATTAAAAGTTCAGGAATTGGGCATAGTGACACACGCCTTTAATCCCAGCACTTGGGAGGCAGAAGCAGGTGGATCTGTGAGAATGAGGCCAGCCTGGTCTATGTAGTAAGTTCCAAGACTGCTGGGGCTACAGGGAGACCCTGTCTCAAGAAGCCAAAAATTAATAATTAAAAATAAGAAAAAAATTTCAAGTTCAGGGCTCAGCTTGCTACTCTCATAGAGCATCCTTTGGTTTTTAGCACCCACATCTGGGTGTTCACAACTACCGTTAACTGCAGCTCCAGGGCATCTGACATTCTCTTCTGTGCTCTTCTGCACTTTGCAGGCACCTGCACACATGCACAGAGACCCACACATACATAGATATTAGAAGAAGAAAAAGCAAGCAAGCAAACACTTCAGATTGATAAGTAAATGACCTCACCCCTGTGATCCTAGCACTTGGGAGGCTAAGACAGGAGTTTGAAGCCTATTGGGTCTGCATATGAGATTCATGATAGTGTAGGCTGCATTTTGAGATCTAAGCCAGCCTGGTCTACTGAATGATTCACTACCTCAAAAGATTCACTACAAAACTGGGGTTGTTGGTGCACACCTGTAATCCTAACACTTGGGAGGTGGAGATAGGACAAATAAGTCCAGCCTGGGCTACATTATGTTTTCTCTCCAAGGGCTTGAGAGATGGCTTAGCAGTTAAGAGCACTTGCTGTTCTTGTAGAAGACCCAGGTTTGGCTCTTAGTACCCATCAGCTACCTACAACTTGAGTTCCAAGAGATCTGTCACCCTCTTCTGGCCTACAAGGGCACTGTGTATGTATGCAAGGGTACACTTACATGCATGCAGGCAGAGCACTCATACAGAAAAAATACAAATAAATAAAAGTGCTTTTTTTTTTTTTTTTTTTTTTTTTTTTGGTCTTTTTGAGACAGGGTCTCCCTGTGGCCTGGCCCTAGCCTGGAACTCCCTATGTAGATCAGACTGGCCTTGAGGCCTTGAACTCACAGAGATCTGCCTCTGTCTCCCTAGTGCTAGGATTAAAGGTGTGCACCACCATGCCTGGTGATAAAAGTGTTTTAAAATTTTTTTTAAAAAGTTTTTAAAATGCTGGGCATGGTGGTGCATGCCTTTAATCCCAGCATTTAACACTTGGGAGGCAGAGGCAGGTGGATCTTTGTGAGTTCGAGTTCAGCCTGGTCTACATAGTGAGTTCCAGGACAGCTGGGGCTACAAGGAGACCCTGTCTCAAACAGAAGAAAAAAAATTTTTTTTTTTTTAAAGCATGAGAGACTGCTCAGGTGAAGAGTGCTTGCTGCTATTTAAGAGGACCTAAGTTCAGTTCCCTAGTTCCCTGTACTCATGTTGGGTGGCTCACAAACTGCCTATAACTCTAGCTCCAGAGATTCTAATACTTTGTGTTAGCATCTGTGGGCATGAGACACAAATAATAAAATCTTTTTTTTTTTTTTTTTTTTTAAAAAAAAAAAAAAAAGGAAAGCCAGTGGGGCTGGAGCCATGACTCAGTGATTAAAAGCACTGGCTGCTCTTACAGAGGACCCGGGTTCAGTTTCCAGCACCCATATGGCAGCTAACAACTATCTGTATCTCCAGTTCCAGGGGATCTGACACCCTCTTCTGATCTCTGTGGGCATTACACATCACAGGTACACTTTATTACATGCAGGTAATGCACTTAGACACATTAAAAAATAATAATTTCTTTTTAAAAAAAGGAAAGCCAGATGTGGTTGTGCACCCTTTTAATCCTAGCACTGGGAAGGCAGAGGCAGGCCAGCCTGGTCTACATAATGAGTTAGGGGATCTGACACCCTCTTCTGATCTCTGTGGGCATTACACATCACAGGTACACTTTATTACATGCAGGTAATGCACTTAGACACATTAAAAAATAATAATTTCTTTTTAAAAAAAGGAAAGCCAGATGTGGTTGTGCACCCTTTTAATCCTAGCACTGGGAAGGCAGAGGCAGGCCAGCCTGGTCTACATAATGATTTCCAGGCCAGCTGAAGCTACAAGGAGACCCCCCCCCCAAAAAAAAAAAGATTTAAAAAAAGAACGGTTCCTTGCTATTTAACACACTTGAAATATCACTGTATAAAAGGATTATTGTCTCTGTAAGCATTCTTCACAGCACATTTTGTTAATTGTGCTCAAATTCTTGACTCTCATCTGGCTAGAAATGTTAGCCAGATTCTAGACTCCTTTCCCTTCTGTCCTGGTTTGTTTCTTCATTGCTGGGACAAAACACTCTGACCACTACCAACTTGGGGAGGAAAGGGTTTATTCAGCTTACAACTCCCAGGATGCAGTTCATCAGGGAGCCCAAGGTAGCAACTCAGGGCAGGAACCTGGAAGCAGGAGCTGGAGCACAGGCCATGGAGGAATGCTGCTTACTGGCTTGCTCCCCTGGCCCCTGCTCAGCCTGCTTTCTTATACAACACAGGCCCACCTGCCCAGGGGTGGCACCACCCACAGTGGGCTGGGCCCTCCCACATCACTCATCAAGAAGATGCCCCTCAGACATGGCCACAGGCCTGTCCAATGGAAGCAATTCCCCAATTGAGGCTCCCTCAACCCAGGTGTGTCAAGTTGACACTAAAGCTATCCAGCACAATTGACTCCTTGTCAACTTGACACACAAACATCACTATTAAACCATAAACTTTCCAATTTTTGTCCCTAAGATATGATGTTAACATTAATATCACAACATAAGATAGCACAACCTTAAAAAAACCCCAGTCCTTAAAAAATCCAAACACTTAATAGTTTCTTAACTGTAGGTGGGCTTCTATAAAATCCAAAATAAGTACTGTCTTGTTTCAAAGGGAAGAACCGGGCACACCTAAGCAAAACCAAAGTCCAGCAAATTAGCTTGAGGCTGGACACCTGGGATTCACTCACGATCTTCTGGGCTCCAAAGGGTACTGGCAGCTCCACTGCTCTGACTCTGTAGTACACAGCAACCTCAGTTCATCTCACAGACCCAGGCCAGCTCCATTCCACACCTACTGCTGTCCTTGGTGGTCATCCCATGGTCCCGGCATCTCCAAAAAGCTGGGGTCTCTACTGAAACTGAGGCCACACCTTCACCAATGGCCTCTTCTTGCCTCTTGGGGTGCAAAGCCTCAGATTCTCTCCATGACCCCTTCAGTCCTGGGGTCTTCACTGCAACTGAAGCTGCACTTTCATATATGGCCTTTCCTGGCCTCTCAGAGTGACATGCCTCAGCTGCTCTCTGTGACCCCTTCACGCTTTCAACACCAGAACCATGCAGGAGACTCTTACACATTACCAAGTCCTGCTTGCAGCTTGAAATAGAGGTGTGGGTCCTCTCTGTGTGCTGACCCTGAGGAAATACCTCCCAGAAGATTCCACCACAGTGATGCTGGTCCCTTGTTACTTACAGCTGATTTTTTCAGCCCAGCTAACCAGCATCAATTGTCCCAGTAAAGCAAAGGTTTTGCTTCAGTTTCTGGTCTCTTCTTAATCACAGCTGATTCTTCAGCCCCAGCCAACCAGAACCCACAGGTTTTCAATCCAAAATCTCACACAAACAGCCCTGATAGTCTCCGCTTCCCTTTGAAGCTTCACAAGCCAGGCCTCCATCATCTACAACTCTTTCAGCATAACTGTTCCAAGCTCCACAGCAACAAACTGAGCACGCAATGGCTCTTCCAGCCGAAAGTTCCAAACACTTCCACAGTCCTCCCAAAAACACCAAGGTCAAGTCTGTCACAACAATATCCCACTCTCTGGTACCAATTTCTGTCCTGGTTTGTTTCTTCATTGTTGGGACAAAACACTGACCACTACCAACTTGGGGAGGAAAGGATTTAGTCAGCTTACAACTCCCAGGTTGCAGTTCATCAGGGAGCCCAAGGTAGGAACTCGGCAGGAGCTGGAGTACAGGCCATGGAGGAATGCTGCTTACTGGCTTGCGCCTCTGGCCCCTGCTTAGCCAGCTTTCTTTTTGCAACACAGGCCCACCTGCCCAGGGGTGGCACCACCCACAGTGGCTGGGCCCTCCCACATCACTCATCAAGAAGATGCCCTTCAGACATGGCCACAGGCCTGTCCAATGGAAGCAATTCCCCAATTGAGGCTCCCTCAACCCAGGTGTGTCAAGTTGACACTAAAGCTATCCAGCATACCTTCCCATGCCCTCTAAAACTAATTTTCCCCTTCTATTATAAACAGAAGTTCCCAAGAGGAAAGCGGGGGCAGGGGGAAGCCACATTGTATTAAAGATTCTACAAGACCTAATGACTAAAATATATGATCCTGGACAGTTAAAATGTTTACAGAGCCAGGGGCCATTGAGATGACTGAGTGGGTAAAAGCACCTGTCACCATGTCTGACAACTTGAGTATTAATCTGTGGAACTTACACGGTAGAAGGAGAGAACCAGCTCCCACAAGTTGTCCTCTGACCTCCATACTTGTACTGTAAATGTGAAAAAAGAAAAATTTAAATGTTTACAAGTCCAAATCCAGGTTATCTTGGTCTACTTTTAGTTCACTTAATAGCCATTTATTGACCATCCCTGTGTCTGAGCTAATATCCTTTTGACTATCAAAATCTTTAAGATGTATTCTTAGCAGGCCATTAGCTTCCACCAATCAAAAGCTAAGAATGCAGCAGAAAGCAGCTAAAAATGTCATCAGATAGCATCTGAAACCTCTAACAGGTCTTACGCCCTCACCCTACTGGAACCTGTGTTCCTCACCAGTATATTTGGTAAATGCTTTTCTTTGTTCTTTGTCTAATAAAATTCATGTAACTACTTCTTCAGTGTCACATGTCTTTTGGGACAACCTTAATCCATGTTCCTGGGCAATGGCCACTCATATTTGGTTCAAGAATATACTGTCTCGGGGCTGGAGAGATGGCTCAGCGGTTAAGAACACTGGCTGTTCTTGCAGAAGACCCAGGTTTGAATCCCAGCACCCACATGGCAACTAACAACTTGTCCATAACTCCACTTCCAGGGGATCTGACAGCCTCTTCTGGCCTCTGCAGGCATTGCAGGACATGGGTGCACTTGCTTACATGCAGGCAATACACGCATATATGCATAAAATAAAGAATAAATTTGTTTTTAAAAAAGAGAGAGAGTATACTATCTCTAGTTCCCTTTGAGATCAGAGCTGTGTTTTGTGTCAACATCATTCTGCCACTATGTTCAACTATAAAATGTTTGACATTTCAGTTTTCTTTGGTCACTTAACTCATCTCTCACATAAATGAGCCCACATCTTTGCATGCGTGAATAGGAACATGGAAGAGTTTTATGTTCTCATTAAAAGGCTACATTCTGCCACTGTGAGTTTTTTCCCCCCCAGATCTTTTTCTTATGATACCTATGATACTTATTATACTCTTGTACTCTGAACATTCTTTAAAGTTTTTGGCTGTGGGGTGTGTGTGTGTGTGTGTGTGTGTGTGTGTGTGTGTGTGCGCGTTAAGCTTAACTCCTGTGCATTGGCTTGTTTTATGGACTACTTACCTCTAAAATGACAAGTTTATACAGTATTTTATAATTGTCAAAATATGCTTTAAATGTTACTAATGTTGAAGGAAAAAAGAAACCTTTAGACCAATTCAATTTAGTAGCATTTTATTTGAGTAAAACTGTTTAAAACAAAAAGGATTTGTGAATCAAGCAGTTCACAGAACCAGAATAGGTTCTGAGAACTCGTCAGTATGACAGGTTGCATTTATAGGAAACAAGTGAGAGACATGGGAAACACCTTGCTGCCCCTGATCTATCAGCCAGTCAACTAATTGTAGCTTAATAACTGGTTATTATAATCTTATCAATTAACTGGCTCTGGAGTCTTCTGCAACCAGCTAAAGGAGATAAACTCTATTGGTTTGGGTCTCTTGAGTTCAGTGCAGGTGCCTCGTTCAACTCCATGGCTGTTTACAAAATGCGATTTATACTATACAATAGTATGTAGTAGTTACGGCCTTGACTACCTTTCCCCCTTAGCATTTGTTGACAGATTTCATAACTATTTGCCTAAAAGAGCAGCATAAGGAAGGGCTTTATGCCCCCTCCCCAGTAGTTATCATTTAGGAAGATTTAAAAGGTTTTAGTTATTTGATTTTTTTTTCCTAAATCAAACACCATCTTTATTATGAAGGTCTGTGTGTTTTATATATCTCATTGTTACTTAGTGTTACTTTTATCACATGGATGTGATTGGTGCCTGGTTTTAAAGTTTTTTTTAATTAATGAGCCTTCTCGATTATTAATCTTTGAATATTTTTAAATTTAAATTTAATTTATTATTGTGTGTATATGTTGTATGATTGGGGGGGTCCTGTGTGTGCCATAGCACACATGTGGAGGTCAGAGGGCAACTTTCTGGAATCAGTTCTCTCCTTCTTTTACATGGGTTCTGGGACTGGAACTCAGGTTGCCAGGCTTGCATAGCAAGAGCTTTTACCTGCTGGACCTGTTCACCAGCCCTGATTTCAGTATTTCTTTTCATCTTATTCTAAATTGAGATCTTGATTCTCCAGGGTTTTCTAGCTTGCCCATAAGCGTTTGCACTTATATATAGATCAAATGTATATATGGTAAAAATAAGCTGAAGTTTGTAAAGGGAAAGAACCATAGGAGCATAGTCATAGTGATGTACCTACAAAGGTAGTAGTGCTGGTCATTTTGTTGGATCTTAATTCTAAATAGTGTATAGATTTCCATGTTGGCCTTCAAGGTTTATTTCAAGTTCTAGCTCTATACCTTATTTTAAAGTACTTCAACTTATTAAGATAACAAGTGCTTATTTTAGTCTGGTGTACTTTTGAAACTTTATTACATTTATTTACTTATTTAGTGTGTGTGTGTGTGTGTGTGTGTGTGTGTGTGTGTGTGTGTTTTGATTGTCTCCTTCCATCACTTGAGTTCTAGGAATTGAACTCAAGTTATCAAGCTTGACAGCAAGCACTATTATGTGCTGAGCCATCTTGCCGGCCTTGAAACTTTATAGTACATCAGAATTTCCCAGAGGATATGTCTTATCCACACTCTAATTTGCTACTCTGGAGTGGGACAAAATTTTCATTTTTAGCACGTTTCCAAGTCATGACTCCTAGATTAAACTAGGATTTATATAGGTTTTCTGAGATTAAAACTATCAAGGAAAGTGTTTGCGGTTACATAGTCAAGTCTATTTCTTTTTAAAAATATTTATTATTTTTATTTTATGTGTATGAGTGTATTGCCTGCATGTATGTGAGTGCACCTGTGTCTTGCAGTGCCATGGAAGTCAGAAGAGGGCTTCGGATTCCTCTGGAACTGGAGTTAAGGACGGTTCGTAGCCGCCATGTGGGTGCTGGGAATTGAACCTGAGTCCTCTACAAGAGCAGTCAGTGCTCTTAAATGCTGAGCCATCTCTCCAGCCCCAGCCAAGTCTATTTCTTAGAAGCCCAAACTTAACAAAGTTTCTGGAAGTATCACTCATTTTAATTTTAAACTCTTTCGCTTCAGTGATAGTTTGAGTCTTACTTGTCTTTTGAACTTGATTTTGTTCCTTCATATACAGAGCTTTCTAAAGCCTTCTGCAGCCATACTTGGTAATTTTGAATTGTCCAAAGTTCTGCCCTGAGTAAACCCTCACTATCTACGTCAGGTTGAAGTTTGGGGATTATAATAAAACCTTAACCAGTTTTTTGCTTCATAAGGCTGGCCTAAAATTAGGAAGTTTTCCTCAGCCTCTTAAAATGTTGACTTCAGAGAGCATTTGTTCTTTCCATTTTTTCCTCTTTCTGTCTTTCTTATCCAGAGTGAACACAAATGGATCAGATGATCCTGAGGTTGCAGGGTCAGGAGAAAATAAGAGAGTCAATGGGAACAATTCTCCATCACTTTCTAATGGTGGTTTTAAGCCTTCTAGACCTCCAAGACCTTCTCGACCACCTCCACCAACCCCACGAAGACCAGGTATGTATTCCAGACTTCAGTATTGTTTTGTAAATAATGTTCTTTCAGTGGAAAGGGATTTACACAGAGTCTCCATATATTGCCCATGTTGGCCTCAAACTACTTCTGTGTCAGCTTGATATTATGGGTATGTGCTGCCATGCCTGGTGTTTTTAAATAGTGATCTTCAGATATGTGCCAGGGAGACCTTTTTAGGTCAATGTGTGTGGGGTTTTTTTTTAATTTTGTTTAGTTTTAAACTGGATCTTACTTTGTAGTAGAGGCTGGCCTTAAACTAGTGATCCTTCTGCTTTAGCCTCCTAGTGCTGGGAGTGTACACCTTATCTAGCTTCTGGCTTTTTTTTTACATTTAAAAACTTGAACAAGGCCAGGCGTGGTGGCGCAAGCCTTTAATCCCAGCACTTGGGAGGCAGAGGCAGGTGGATCTCTGTGAGTTCAAGGCCAGCCTGTTCTACACAGTAAGTTCCAGGACAGCTGGGGCTACAAGGAGACCCTGTCTCGAAAAGACCAAAAAAAAAAAAACTTGAACAAGAATGATTTTCCTATAGGCAACTAAGAATCACCTTTACTTCTCTCTCTCTCTGTGTGTGTGTGTGTGTGTGTGTGTGTGTGTGTGTGTGTGTAGTGCCACAGAAGCCAGAAGAGGATGTTGGATCCCCTGCAACCAAGAATTGCCTTTACTTTTCTCTCTCTCTGTGTGTGTGTGTGTGTGTGTGTGTGTGTGTGTGTGTGTGTGTGTGTTACCACAGAAGCCTGAAGAGGATGTTGGATCCCCTGGAACTGGAGTTACAGATGGTTGTTAGCTTTCATGTGGGTGCTGGGAACTGAACTTGGGTCCTCTACAAGAAAATAACTTACGTATTGTTTAAAGTATACACAGTACGGTTAAGATTGAAACTTTTTTGCATGGTAGGTAACTGTGTGAAATATGTCTTATAGTCAAGAATTTGGTGGCAGCCAGGTGTGGTTGTATATTGCCTTTAATCCCAGCACTCGGGAGGCAGAGGCAGGCAGATCTCTGTGAGATGGAGGCCAGCCTTCTCTACATAGTAAGTTCCTGGTCAGCTGTGAATAGAGAGACCTTGTCTCAAAAAGACCAATAAAAGAAAAAAGAAGAAAAGTAATAATTTGGTTACTTATTCCCATTTTATCTTTTTAAAAGCTGGCTGTAAATGGTAGTTTTTTTTTTTTAAAAAAAAAAAGGAAAATGCACCAAAAGACATAATTCATGTAGTAACAGTGTAAACATTGTTTTTATGGTAACATGTAAACAGAATATCCATTTTCTGATTAGCCATCAGTAATATCAGTATACTCATACTGTTACAAACATCAAAAATTGGTCTCTAATCTCCAAGGTTACATAGAAAAGGTAGTTTTGATAATCTGGAAAGTGATACTAATAGTTTCCTATTCTAAAAGTTTTTATTGGGCTGGGAGTATAGCTCAGTAATAAAGTGCTTGCCTGTTGTACACAGGCCATGAGCTCGACACTCAGCACCACACAAAAATCAATTAGTTATTTTTTGGGTATTATGAAACCATAATTTTATATGCCTTACAATTTACTGAGACCTGTGTGTCCACATCTTAGGTCTTATTTGTCATCTAGTTTTAATTCTTAGGTTAAAATTATATCCCGATTTTAGATTTCAGAATGCAAAAGATTCTTCTCCTATTTTTCCCAAATATTTTATAGCATCTGTCAATGGTTCGCCGTCTGCCAATTCTGAAAGCGATGGATCTAGCACAGGTTCTTTGCCATCAACCAATACAAATGCAAACACAAATACAAATACATCTGAAGGAGCAACATCTGGATTAATAATTCCTCTTACTATATCTGGAGGCGCAGGCCCTAGGCCACTAAATCCTGTAACTCAAGCTCCCCTACCACCTGGGTAAGTAATTGTTGACATTTGTTTTCTTTAGACTTTTGCATGCACTCATTAATTAAAAAAAGAAAATAGCACTACATTCTTTCATTAATTGTTTTCAAGTAACTATAATAGATTTTGGGGAGTCTGGAGTCCAGGAAAGTTTATCATATCTTGAAATTGTACCCTTTTCTAGGGTAAGTAGAAAAAGAAATTTGAGCTTGGTTTGTTGGCACAGGCCTATAATTCTAGCTGAGGCTGAGGCTGAGGCAGGAAGATTGCTGTGAGTTCAAGGTCAGCTTGGGCTACTGCATGAGGCTCTGTCTCAAAATTTTTTTTCTTTTGGTTTTTTTGAGACAATGTTTTGTAGCCCATACTGACTTCAAACTCAGTATGGAGCCAAGGATGTTCTTGAACTACTAATTCTTGCTTCTACCTCCCTAGAATTATAGGTGTACACCATTACACATAGCTATATATATAAAATTGAAGGATCCCCTGAACCATAGAAAGCAAACAAGGCCAGGTAATGGAATAGTTGCCTAACTCAAATTGTTTCTTCTTTTAGGTAGGGAAACATTTTTTTTAAATAAAAAATTTTCATCATAAAGTCATTATAGCAAAGTAATAGGTAATTTAAACTGATAAAGTTAGTAACCTTAATCCTATTTTCATTTCTACTTATTTTTAACACCAGTAATACTTTTATTATATGGATTATGACATTCAGATTCAGTCAGGGCTGGGGGTATAGGTATAGCTCAGTGGTAGAGTGCTTGCTATACCTGAGAAGTACCAAGTTCTACCTTCACTATCACATAAGCAGTGCAAAACAAAAGCTCTTCAAATTCAGGCCTCAGAATGCCTGTCAGAATTATTTGGCTGACTAGTAAAGTAATAAACTAATGATGAGAATTTTAACTTCTTACACAGATTATAATACTTGGTAGTTAGGACACTTTCCTTTTGGAAGGCTTATATGTATATTAGTACCTTTCTCGTCGCTGTGACAGAATGCCTGACAAAAGCCACTTGTGGGAGGAGAGGTTTATTTTGGTTTGGCCTGTGGTGGTCTTGGTGCTGGTCACATCATTATGGCAGGTAGAAAGCTAGCTCTGTTGTAACTCACAAGGCAGCAGCCCACTTCATCTAGATAGACTTTGCATCCTAAAGGGTCTACAACCTTGCAAAACAGTGCCACCAGTTGGGGACCAAGTGTTCAAACACATGAGCCTCTCTGGGAGGGGGACAGACTCAGTTTATACCTAAACAATATCACATGGATAGCTCAGTTGAAAGGCTGTTTGTGCTTAAGAACAAACAAGCTATAATGATCTACTGCTATCTTCTTCACTTTGGCAGTAAATCTCCCAAGAAGACTCAGTCTATAAACTCTTTTCCTATAATATGCAAGAATACATCAATAAGGACTTATTATTTGATTTCAGTTTTTCTAGAATGCACTCAGAATGTTGCCCCTCAGTTAGCATGTTTGTCCAGGCTTCAGAGCATCAATGATAGCATTCTTTCCTCCCAAGTCCTGAGTCTAACCTGACCATATTGAGAGTGACTTTGGTGTTTTAGGAGACCTGACTCCAGAAATGCATGTTATTTCCTGGAGCAGACACTTGTGAAAAGCATATCTCATCCACTGTGTTCCACTCTCATGGCGTTTTTATTTTTTTAGTCATTTCTTTCTTTTTAATTTAAATTTTTTATTTTTTTAAAATTTCATCTGTCAATACTGTATTTATATCATTTCTGCCCCCTCCCCTCTCTAACTCCACCCACCTCTCACTCTTTCATTATCATTATACACACAACCTACTGAGTCCATTTCATGTTACTCATATGTACATGTTTAGTACAGACCTCTTGGGATTAGATAATCTAAGGGGGCTCCTCCCAGAAGAAAACCAATTCTTCCTCTCCCAATACCTATAGCTCTTCATCTAGGGGTAGGGCCTTGTGAAATTTCCCCCATCCTCATTGGCATGTTGACTGATGTTGACATTATGCAGGTCTTGTTTAGGCAACCTTGTTGTTGAGATTTCACAGGCAGCTTCCCTGGTCCTGTGGCTCATACAGTCTTTTTGCTGCCTCTTCTGTGATGTTTCCTGAGCCTTAAGTATAGGGGTTGCATTGAAGATGTGTCAGTTGGGGCTGAGCACCACATGGTTACTTATTCCCTGCATTTTGACTAGTCATGGATCTCTGAAATAGTCTCTGTCTGTTTCAAAAAAAAAAACAAAAAAAAAAACCTTCTTTGATGAGGGATGAGAGCTATGCTTATCAGGCTGGGCTGGTATCCAGATGACATTTCCTGGCCATATTAAATATTTTTATTATTTTTATTTTCATGTGTACAAGTATATGGCCTACATGTATATAAGTGCACCCATGTCATGTAGTGCCTGAGGAGGTCACTAGAGGGTGTCAGATCCTCTAGAACTGAAGTTATGGATGGTTGTTAGCCACCATATGGGTACTGGGAACTGAACCCAGGTCCTCTGCAAGAGCAGCTGGTGCTCTTAACTGTTGAGCAATCTCTCCAGCCTCTTGACCATATTTTAATTCTGTTATCCTTTTTATGGACTAACAGGTTTTCCACAGTTATATAATATGGTCATTTAAGGAGAAAAGGTAGAGACACCAGATTAAAATCCAAAGTAATACAAAATGCCCTTCCTTGTCCTTTTAATTTGTGTTTCAGTTGGGAGCAGAGAGTAGACCAGCATGGCCGTGTCTATTATGTAGATCATGTTGAAAAAAGAACAACTTGGGATAGACCAGAACCTCTACCTCCTGGGTAAGTGTCTAAATTTAAAAAGAAAAACAAATGTGTTTATTCAGAAGTACAAATTCTTTATTTTTATTTTTTTATGTATTTGAGTATTTATGCCTGCAGGTTAGGGTCATGCAGTGCCTACAGAGGACAAAAAAGGGCATCAGATCCCTGGAACTGGAGTTATAAACAGTTGTTAACTATCATGTAGGCACTGGGATTCGAACCTGGGTGATTGGAACCTGGGTCTTCTACAAGAGCAGACAGTGAGAGATCTCTTCAGTCCCCAGAAGTACACGTTCTATCTGTACACAACCTTCCCTGCAGGCCTTATATTCCTTTTCCTCTTC